GGTGTGCCACGAACTTACTGCCAAATGGTGACCGATAGATTAAATTATATTTACTGGAAAATGTGACAAGTCTGAATCCTCTTTTTAAGGGTATGTGGTCATCATATCCATGATTTAACGGGACAGATTGAAAAAAGCGTGTAGAATATAAAGAGTTGTGGAAACAGGAGGAAGTGCACAGTTTCTTGCAGCTGGTCAGCGTATCGCTATCTTGGGCTTCTCGAACTCTGTTACAGCTCCCTCATGTTCTGTTCCCCTTGCTGAAAAGCATTCTGTAGTTATCAGCAGCATGAGGAAGAACATTTCCTCCTTTAGTTTGATGATTAATGGAGAGACTCTTTAAGATTGCTGAACAGACCAAATGAGCTCAGCCTTCTCAAGAGGGAAATGATGCAGCGGAATTGCACATTTTAATAAATGTTCTTTCATTTTTAAGGGATAATGTGTATATTTGACCATGTGTTTCTAATTGTGATCTTTTCTATATTTACTGATTTTTTTTAAACAATGAAAAGCACAGAGGATGCAAAATTGCACTGTCAATAACTGACAGAAATACTACTTCATAAATGGGTATTTCACCCAAAGATGAATATTCTGGCATTATTTACTCATGCCCTCATGTTGTTCCAAACCAGTATGATGTTCTTTCTTTACAAAACATTTTTTTAGTTATTTTAATGGATACTATCTATATTTAAGTCACTGATACTGTATATTTGTCATTCGTTTCTCTACACCAGACTTTTGACTGTTGACTTACAGGCTGCTTCAGTTTGCATCTTATTATGACTAAAATAAATTCTCCAATATTTTCCAAAGATTGATTGATAAGCGCTTGGCATCTTGCAATCCAGCAGCTAGTTCAGCGACTCCTCAGATGTGTTCATTGGTAAACACCAATTTGATAAAAAACCTACTGAAAATGGCATAAAGTCAGACAATTAGACTGAAGTCTTTAAACATTCTGTTTGTAATATGCACCGGGCGGCCCAAGGGTGTGCCACGAACTTACTGCCAAATGGTGACCGATAGATTAAATGATATTTACTGGAAAATGTGACAAGTCTGAATCCTCTTTTTAAGGGTATGTGGTCATCATATCCATGATTTAACGGGACAGATTGAAAAAAGCGTGTAGAATATAAAGAGTTGTGGAAACAGGAGGAAGTGCACAGTTTCTTGCAGCTGGTCAGCGTATCGCTATCTCGGGCTTCTCGAACTCTGTTACAGCTCCCTCATGTTCTGTTCCCCTTGCTGAAAAGCATTCTGTAGTTATCAGCAGCATGAGGAAGAACATTTCCTCCTTTAGTTTGATGATTAATGGAGAGACTCTTTAAGATTGCTGAACAGACCAAATGAGCTCAGCCTTCTCAAGAGGGAAATGATGCAGCGGAATTGCACATTTTAATAAATGTTCTTTCATTTTTAAGGGATAATGTGTATATTTGACCATGTGTTTCTAATTGTGATCTTTTCTATATTTACTGATTTTTTTAAACAATGAAAAGCACAGAGGATGCAAAATTGCACTGTCAATAACTGACAGAAGATGAATATTCTGACATTATTTACTCATGCCCTCATGTTGTTCCAAACCAGTATGATGTTCTTTCTTTACAAAACATTTTTTTAGTTATTTTAATGGATACTATCTATATTTGGTCACATATTTCTTCATTATGCTCTTCATTAGATGCGAGATTGTACTGTGAATAACTGTGACAAAAATACTGTTTCTTAAAGGAATGTCATTCCAAACCAATGTGATTTTCTTTCTTTACAAAATAGTTTTAATTATTTTTTTAATTAAAATAAATATTTAAATGTATTTAAATTATTAAATTTAAAGGGATAATTTATTTACTTTCATTCTTGACAAAAGAATTTTTGAAAAATGAATGCATTTTTATTTATAATTAATTAAAATGCATAATTATTTTTATTTATTTATTTAAATACATTTTAAAAAAGAAAATAAATCATGCTGTCCTTTTCCAAGAACAAAAGCATATAACATAAACATATAACTTATTTTTCTTTTTCCCACAGAAGATAGAAAGTCATGGTTTTGAATTATATTTATTTTAAAATTCAAGTTTACTTTTGGTCTGGCCTTAATGGAGTATTTAATATTTTGACCATTTGTTTTTGCATTCCAAAATCCTTCTGAAAGAATTCAGTCATCTTCAGCGTAAACGTACTGTAGTCTGTTTTTGAAGCGCTCAGACTTCACTCTATATATCCGTGTGTTTTGATACAAATGGAGCTCTTAACATTGTTTTAGCGTCTTAAATTTCATTGGATAATTTTTGCGGCACATCCTCTCTCTTCAGTGAGTAATTCCTCATGATGGTTGAATGAGACGCATGCAGGCGTCCAGGTGGAAATGTATTGTGAGAAGACACAGGGGCTGTACTTTGTTTGCTGTTGTAGTACTGTACACGCAGCAGGATGCCTCTAATTACCCCAACGCCACGAGAAGTCGTCTGTGTTGATGTGACCCGTCCTCACCCGTCTCCCTCAGAGCGCTTCAGCTCTCCATCATGCCGAGTGTGAACTCATGCTCGCCTCTTGTTTTATATTAGGTCCTGTTGACTCTGTGTTTGTCTTGCAACCCAAACCATCTGCAGCAGTGAATTGGTTTCAGAAGCTCTATCGCACTGTTTAGGTGGCCTCGGGGCCCCTCTGGCAAAGAAACACACGCAGTGTAATTAGATAAACGGCATATTGTCCTTCTATTAGATTGCGACAGGTGAAGCGAAGACCTTCAAATTGGTGAGCAAGCAATTCGATTAATTTCAGTCTTACTGAAGCACTAAAAGACGAGGCCGAGAGAGAGAAACAAGCTGGCTGGAGATGAAATACAAGAGTTTATTTTACAGTCGCACAGCCAATACATACATCATTTGAGATTTGTTAGTGTTTCAGTGTAATAACACACAGAGCAGAGAGTATTGATTAATGAAAACACCTCTTTCCTTCCTGTACACGACAGAATACAATTACCAACACAGTAGTGACAAAATACTGGGCAAATTTAGAAGTGTGGCATTTGATTAGCCTTTCTTTGAAAGAAGGACTATCCTTCAAGGACAAGCACACTTTCTGTGCAAAATATTTCACAAAAGAAATTTAAATGGTTCGAAATGGTTCAGTAATGCTGAAAAGGAAGACGGCGTTAAAAGTCTGGAAAATGTTCACATTTTAAAGTTTGAGCTCAGTAGTATATACAGTTTCCACAAAAATACGAAGCAGCGCAACTGTTTTCAACATAGTAATAAATTATACTCGAGCAGCAATATTAGAATGATTTCTGAAGGATCATGTGACACTGATGACTGGAGTAATGATGCTGAAAATTCAGCTTTGATTACAGGAACATAGAAAACGGTTATTTTAATTGTAATAATATTTCACAATATTACTGTTTTTACGTAAACGTGCACTTCTCTGCTGCCTGCCCTCCTCCGTGGGAACACTGTGCGGTTTAGGAAATAGAGGACATTCGTGAACTCGAGCTGTCCTTGGGTTTTCCTGCTAGTGCTTTAGAGGACATTGTGTCAGAGTGTTGCTTATTTAAGTCCATTTGATGAAGACAAAGGGTACGTCTCGTCACTGGGGCCAGACGGCGGAAAAAGTGCTGAGCAAGAGGGAGACGACTGTATAAATAATGTTGAATGATTCTTGCCACATATCGTACGTGAGGGATCTTACACCCCTTTTAAGGGCCATGTTATGTAAATAAAAATTGTTTACTTAAATTTTTGATCAATTTAATGCATCCTTGCTGAATAAAAATGTTAATTTCTTTTAAAAAAAATCATTAAGTAGTGCACATATGATTGTATCAGGCACATTTAAATATCTGTGCCTAATATCATGTTTTGGGGAAATTGGGTAGCTGAACTATAGCCAGAAAGTGTATAAATGCATGATCGAGAGAGAGAAACAAGCTGGCTGGAGATGAAATACAAGAGTTTATTTTACAGTCGCACAGCCAATACATACATCATTTGAGATTTGTTAGTGTTTCAGTGTAATAACACACAGAGCAGAGAGTATTGATTAATGAAAACACCTCTTTCCTTCCTGTACACGACAGAATACAATTACCAACACAGTAGTGACAAAATACTGGGCAAATTTAGAAGTGTGGCATTTGATTAGCCTTTCTTTGAAAGAAGGACTATCCTTCAAGGACAAGCACACTTTCTGTGCAAAATATTTCACAAAAGAAATTTAAATGGTTCGAAATGGTTCAGTAATGCTGAAAAGGAAGACGGCGTTAAAAGTCTGGAAAATGTTCACATTTTAAAGTTTGAGCTCAGTAGTATATACAGTTTCCACAAAAATACGAAGCAGCGCAACTGTTTTCAACATAGTAATAAATTATACTCGAGCAGCAATATTAGAATGATTTCTGAAGGATCATGTGACACTGATGACTGGAGTAATGATGCTGAAAATTCAGCTTTGATTACAGGAACATAGAAAACGGTTATTTTAATTGTAATAATATTTCACAATATTACTGTTTTTACGTAAACGTGCACTTCTCTGCTGCCTGCCCTCCTCCGTGGGAACACTGTGCGGTTTAGGAAATAGAGGACATTCGTGAACTCGAGCTGTCCTTGGGTTTTCCTGCTAGTGCTTTAGAGGACATTGTGTCAGAGTGTTGCTTATTTAAGTCCATTTGATGAAGACAAAGGGTACGTCTCGTCACTGGGGCCAGACGGCGGAAAAAGTGCTGAGCAAGAGGGAGACGACTGTATAAATAATGTTGAATGATTCTTGCCACATATCGTACGTGAGGGATCTTACACCACTTTTAAGGGCCATGTTATGTAAATAAAAATTGTTTACTTAAATTTTTGATCAATTTAATGCATCCTTGCTGAATAAAAATGTGAATTTCTTAAAAAAAAAATCATTAAGTAGTGCACATATGATTGTATCAGGCACATTTAAATATCTGTGCCTAATATCATGTTTTGGGGAAATTGGGTAGCTGAACTATAGCCAGAAAGTGTATAAATGCATGATCTGGTGTGGATATAGACCTCAGACGGCAAATTGTCAACCACAGAGCGCTCTTGAACTCGGAAATGATTAATGGGCCACATTTATTCCGCAGTGCCGCCAGTCGAGGTGCCCTGCTGTATGTTAGCAGTACTCAAATCTGAGGAAACCAGGGTGTTCATGTAAACGCTCCAAACGAGTGCAGAATGTGAGGCCAAAGCCTCAAACTCTTCCCCAGAGAGCCGCCAAGTGCATGAAAAATGAATTTTGCAAACAGTCCCGAGCTTTCCTGCACCCCCTCAGCTGCTTTTTACTATTTATTGATGTTTTTTTCTCCGGCAGCACTTCTTGTTATTGCTGCAGTGTTGCTAAGAATAGCTTGAATATAAATTCAAGAATAGGCAACACGTGCAGGACCTCACGTGGAACTCGAGATCCCAGAGTTAAGCGCTCATCCTCTGCATTGTTCCAGCAGCGTGAGGCCGTCTGGTTTATCAGTGGCCCTGATAGATTCCTGAAGGCGCTCGGCTGTTTTTTACACTCTCGGCTCTGTAAAAGGACAGCTTCGTGAACTCTCGCCCGAGAAATGCTCACTCCTCACGAGGTTGAATCTCAACTGTTTACACAAACCAGCCGGTGCTGCTATTCTGTGTTTAAAGAAAACTCTCAACTCTCACTGGCGACTGTCCCTGTTACTGTTCTCCTAGTGTACAGCGCATGTGAGAATACAGTTATTTATGTGTTAGTCAAGTCACATTTATTTATATAGCACTTTATGCAATACAGTTTGGTTCAAAGCAGCTTCTCATTAATAAACAGGAAAATAGCACTGTTAATGTTGTAAAATTCATAAAGTATGAAACAAATTAAATTTCAGCTATAAAGCAGCTCTACAAAAGAGAATAGTGTCATAATTCTGCTCAGTTTAGTTCAGTGTTGTTTCAAATGATATTACTGAATATTAATTGTCCTTTAAAACACTATTAAACCGCCAAAAGTTAGTGCATATTTCAGTGGGGGGTTTTTTTATATCTTAAGTAAACTATGCATATGTTATACTTCATCAAGACTTGAGGAATGACTTTTAAGGACTGGAATACACTACACAACTTTTAAATTCTGAACAGATGTTAAAACACTGGGCATCATACACTTATGGACTTTGTATAGTCACAGAGGAAAAACTTGCCATCATACCTTACATGACTGAGTCGTTCCGATCACAACAAACTCATGCAGAAATGTGTACCTTGTTGCTAGGAAACACATGATAAATGAAAACAATAAGTCCCAAAATCGTTTCAAAATGTCAAACTGTTTGATATCCTCCGACTGGATGGAATCATAGTCTGAAGCTAAAAAATAGAGTCTGCGACCATCATACACTATGCGATTTTCTATGATATCCGTCAACTCAAATCTGCAGACTGGCTCTGATTTTTGGCAAAAAAAATTCAACTTCAACTTCTCCAGTTGACTTCAACAGTAAATCAGTGGAAAAACGGGGCAAAAATCGTGTAGTGTATTCCAGCTTAAGACATTTACATAAAGCCTTATGCACACTACGCATCTTGTAGCATGTGCCTTTCACAAGACTCTTCTAGTGTGCACACTTGCACAATTGTGTTCCAATTGATTGCAGATGCTGCAACAAATTTCAAACTTGTTTGAAATCTAGCCGAACAGTTGACAAGTGTGTGCACTGCTTGAAATTGCAAGAGAAAAAGCTAAACATAAAAATTTGTTTAGTTTACCTCCGACTGAGATCTAAATTGGAGATCTAAACATAATTGTAATGCATATTGAATCCAGCTTGCAGGAGTTTATTCTCAACAATAAACCATTTGCGTGCCTTCTGTATGTTTGCATGGCAATCAGTGATTTCTTTGGTTTCTTTTGGATGTTTTTTTTTCTTTTTTGTAATGTTTTAAGCATACCTTGAGGAAAGAACTGCACAGTTGGTGACTTTCTGCTGGGGTCTCGACAAAATAGTACAACTTATGAAGGTTTTGTCTGATTATTCTCACTGTCATTTGTTGTTTTCTCTGTCTGTTTGGGCTCCAGGAAGAAAAGGGCATTTCTTGTATGCTGGTAGAGCTGGACTTCCTCAAGTGCAGCATTGGATTTCCTTTCATGAGAGCGCAAACCAAGGTAGTATGACAAGAGCACCAGCTTTACAGCTTACTTGGTGATCTTGTTAATTATAATGCCATTCAATTTAACCTTGTAGTTTTTTTACCTTTTCTTTTTTTCAGTACCATCTATCGGTGCTTTTCGACACAAGTCGTCTGTCTGGTGAAAATGAGACACTGCTATTTTTAGTTCATGCTAGAAGGTAAGCTTTGAACGGTCTTGATTTAATGAATTTTCCCATTTTTTTAAATACTTTTTTTTGTTTTTTTTTACTATAAAATTGTATTTATTTGTTTAAGATACACATGGTTCACATCATCAGTCCACATTAGTGAATGTCGTGATGTTTATATCTGAAATAACTAGATAGATTATACATTTGGACTTTTCCCTATTTGGCTATTTTGAGAGAAATTAAGTGGTTTGACTTGATATTAAAGTCATGATATTAATCTAATGCTGGCCAGATGGGTTTTCTTTGCTCAGAGATCTCTTAGCTCTCTGAGGCAAATACAGCTCTCATTAAAGCTGCAAGCAGCATTGAAAGGGTCCTCGCACCCGGAGCCACCTCCACCCAGTGGCCTTAGGAAAACAGTGAACGGTGGGCTATATGCATGTAAAATTATAAATATAGGAGGAATATGTCAAAGTCAATTATATGTGCCAAACGTTCTGCTGCCAGCTGTTGGCGCTATGACTATAACTGAATACTGGCATGTAGATGTCTTCAGGCCAGGACTTTTATCAAACAAGTGAAGTTTGGTGCAGATTGACATGGTATGTTTGAGTTAGTGTAAAACATGACATACCCTGTTGCTAACAGGTAGCGTTATAAATTATAACTGAATTTTGGCATGTAGATGTTGTCAGGCCAGGGCTCTTGTCAAACATGTGAAGTTTGGGGCAAATCGGACATTGCATGTTTAAGTTACTGTAAAACAAGTAATTTCCTGTTGCCAGCAGGTGGCGCTATTATTATAATGGGATATTGGCCTTTAGATGTCTTTAGGCCAGGACTTTTTTCAGGACTAATTCTGAAACCTATATCGGACATAAATAGGGTCCTCACACCATGGTGCTCGGGCCCTAATAATGCACATTTGGCCATCTTACAGTAGAAACTTAAAGGGGTCATATGATGCTGCTAAAAAGAACATTATTTTGTGTATTTGGTGTAATGAAATGTGTTTATGCGGTTTAAAGTTCAAAAAACACATTATTTTCCACATACTGTACATTATTGTTTCTCCTCTATGCCCCGCCTTTTTAAAACGCGTCGATTTTTACAAAGCTCATCGGTCTGAAAAAGCGAGGTGTGCTGTGATTGGCCAGCTATCCAATGCGTTGTGATTGGCCGAATACCTCAAGCGTGTGATGGAAATGTTACACCCCTTGCCATACTGTTGTCACATGACAAGAGTGATGCGAGAAGACACTATGATGGCGGATCCAAAAGAGTTACTTTTAATAAAACTTTAATTTCTTCGTTTAATAGCCTATAAGTGAGTGTCTTTATTGTTGCTGGGTTTCCATAAAAAAAAAAAAAACTATAAACCACAAACTAAGCATTTGTTTTAAATAAGGGAAAATACCTTATATATTTGGGTTACAACGCGAGGCTATATCTTATTCATTTTGTTAATAAAAGTTAGATGTTTAATATATGCGAATTTGCCATTGTACTATTTTATGGCTGATGTGTTTTAATTAAGATAATAAATCACCAACTATGATCGTTTTAAGGTAGCCTGAGGGTAAATCCATATTCATTTTGTTTAGAAAAGTTCAGTTTAACATTGGTGAATTTATCATTGTACTATTTTATTGTATAGCCTTTTTTTCATTAATAATAATGAGCCATAAGCATTCATTTAAAGTAAGGGGAAATTCCCAAAAACTTTCATTTATTTGTGTTACAATGTAGGTAGGCCTACATCAGTCTTATTCGTTCTGTTCATAAAAGTTTTACGTTTAATATAAGTGACTTTGTCATTGTAGCATTGCTGATATTGTGTGTGTCTGTTTTCATTAAGAGTAGGCCTAATATTGAATCAACCTTAAGCATTCTTTTATTTTATTTTTTCATGAAAAGGAAAGACCTAACATTAAAGATCAAAATAAGCTCTACATGTGAGAACGCGAGATTTGTTGCTGCTGAGGTAGACGCTCTCGCTCTTTCTCTGCTGTCTCTTTGCTATGTCTGTAGAAATGGTCGTTAATTCTTAATTTGGGTACGGCACAGACATGTTACAGGCAATAATACAATCAGTGGCGTAGCAAGTAGCAATTCAAAAAAATTGAATTTTTTTGCAACGTTATGGGCTTCAACTCGGTTAACTTAACTTGGGCCCTATTGTTGATTTTTTTTTTAAGTAAATAACGTTACATGAATCATGACTATTCACAAGCTGTTTTATGGTATAGGCTAAATGCTTGGAAATTATATTTAAATTTTCAAGTCCATTATTTATAGCACGCAAGCCACCCAATAATCACAGCTTTGTGCTTTTGTTACTACAAAGTCTCAGCCTTCTGTCAATTTTATGATAAAATACAAACAATAAATGTGTTTTTACGCTCTTTAATTTGTAGTGAGATAATTCGCCTCAGTTCAAGCGGCATATTAATCAATGATATTTTCCTCCTTAAAATTTGCAGCATGAAATAAACATGAATATTTGAATGAATGAAAAAAAAACAGAACAATTTAATACAAACGAATGTCTCATGAAATCGATCAGAGTATTAAAAAAACGTCAATAAGTCTACATTTTATTGCTGTTTTTAATGTTAAATGTGAAGAATGATGGATGCCACATTTTTTTTTTTTTGGCGAAGTAGCCTATAGGTGGAATTTTCACATTAACTTCATAACATGATTTTATTATCGTAATTTTGACTTTATTCTTAAAATATTATGAAGATAATCTTATTTATTTAGTTATTTTTCAACGTGGCACTAAAATGCTGCTGTAGGCTATTTGTAGCTACTGAATGCAAACATAATTTTGGCACAGCGGCCCAAAAAAACAAACATTTAAAATTAAAAAGTAAAAAATAGTGAGGGGATATTTTAATTGTTTGTTAATAAACTAGTGTTTTCTGAGTCAGTGTCACAAAGATGAATTTGACGAACCTGACGCGCCATCTCCTCATTGGACGTGCCTTTAGAGAAAAATGCATCTTTATGGATTACATAATGAAAGAGTTTTTGTATTTCTTTTAAAATAGTAATGTAAAGCATTGTATAGATATACAGTATTTATCATGTCGTTAAGGCAAGTATTCGCTGAGTTTCAGTTCATCATCGTGAGGCACTCCTGCTCAAGACAGAGACAACAGAAAGCGCATCAGAAAGCATTTGTATCCCTTATTTTGTTGATATTGTGAGTGCACACAAATAAAAGTAGACTTTGCAGTTCCGAATGAGGTATACTCTTACCTTTACGAGCAAAAATTATTTAATAATTTTTTTAAGATTCCACTGTTATATAAAAAAAAAAAATAAAAAAAAAACCAAGTGATCCCGCTGGCGCCTCCATGTCCTGCAGAGCGATTGGATATGCGCCTAACAGCGCACATTTATCTAGGTTAAATGTTTAAATTAATACTGTGAAATGCACAAAGTGCTTTATGTCTATAGATTTTATTTTAGGCAAGTCGTCCTGTTGATTTGAGCAGGCTAAATTGATCAAACATATGCTCAACTCACTGTCAGCTGCTGGCCGCTTGGTCGTTCCTTTAAAAAATAAAAACCTGAATTTAACAAACACAAAATGTTCCAAAAATATTTCTAAGTTAACTTAATAAAGGAACGAAATGAAATATTACCACTTTGCCATTAAAAATCAAAACTGAACTATTTTAATGGCTGCAACAGCAGCTGTGTAATGGGGGGGGAGAGAGAGAGAGAGAGAGAGAGAAAGAAAAGACACAGGCTCCAGTCGGACTTGAGCTGAGAATTCTGATAAGCTGTCGGACAAGGGCAATTCAGGGAAATTGCAGGAAAATGTATTTCCTCGTTTCAATTAAAAGTTCCCCTCAGCTCGGCGGGCCCCCAGTCTGCCCGGGCCCATATGTACCTGCATACCTAGATATTCAGGGAAATTGCAGGAAAATGTATTTCCTCGTTTCAATTAAAAGTTCCCCTCAGCTCGGCGGGCCCCCAGCGGGACCCATGCAGTGTACCTGCATACCTAGACGCTACGCCACTGAATATAATCAAAAAACCATGGCAACAAATGTTTTTTTTTAAGTCAGTATAAGAAGTTTAATAAGTTGAAACAACTTTCACAGTCAATTTGATTAAACTTGATGTTTAACCGTTGCTTCTTGTCATTGTAGGCTTAGGCTACTTTTTTCAATACATTTTAATGAATATACAAATTAATAAAATGAATT